GCGCAAGCGCCTGCTGCTGAGAACATCACCTATGTATGCACAGGTTAGGCCCACGCTGTGGAGACGGGGCGCCAGTATCGTCTCACGAACAGGTCGAAAAAAAGACTTCTAGACAACGTTTCGAGCGAACTTGGTCTTTGTTCGATGCCGTTGCCATCGGTGAGAACAACGCGCATGTCGCCTCCAGTTGAACTCCGTAGAAGTGCAGCGCTCATGTCGTCCATGAGTACACTGGAAATAGCACTCGAACGCACCCGCGCCTGACACTCGCAGCGAACTCAGTCTCTGGTTGACACTGTTGCTGCTGATTGCATTCTACTCCCGAAGGCATCTCGAAGCGCTTCAGGATGCCACCCCGCTCCAAGAGTTCGCAAGCTCGGATACGTTGGCACCAGTGTATTTGCGGTATGTGGATACTTATGTGGGTATGTGTTTCACGTCCTTTATGAACGATGTTCTCCCGATGGTCATTCATACCAGCGCGACGATGCGGGGCTGGAGTCAGGCCAGTCGAGGCAGTTGCGCAGTCAGTTTATCCTGCTCTTACTCACGCCTCCCTTCAAGTCTCCGATGCTGACCACAATTGTTCCTGGGCCTCTTCATAGTTCTTCATCAGAGCCCTATCGCCACTCATACGCATATATCGACGCGGTCGAGGAAGGTGCACGCTGTGCCGAGTGTGGCAAAGGACCGCGGTAGCATGGGCATAGCCCCTGCCGTACCGGTCCCTGTTAGACCTATACATCACCCAACTCATTAGCTTTGTCGGCCACTTCATCTGCGAGAAGGTCGATGAGATCAACCAAGGGATTCTCGGCGGCGAGACGGGTAGTAATGCTCCACTCTTAGGAGTAGCCAAACTCTGAATCACAGGTGGTACGACAGGCACCGCCACACACACCGGGCTATACGCTATACAATTCCCTCCCACTTCTCACTCTTTACCCTCCCCGCTGTCTGTCGTCGGTTGGCATGGATCTGCGTGTCACCCAGTATTATCGACAGATGGGATCCTCCCGCACCGCGACGAGGGTGCATGTACGTCTCGCATGCATGGGTGAGTTGCAGCAAATAATTCTCGCGTCTTCCGACTGCTCACGATCAATACACCGGCACCATTCTTCGCAGGACGCCTTCCGCGGGGCCGATAAACGATAACGAAACATGCACAACAGTCTTCTACCGGCAGCATCACAGCCCGAGTCTCCATACTGATCCCAAACATCGATATCACCGAAGCATCCCAAATTTCCGATTTTTAGACATCTCCTCTTTATGCACGCAACGTTCCTACATTCAATTATAATGCAACCCAGGTAAACAAATGATAAAGGGCCGTGTCCGTGGCAAGCATGCACCTGCATATGGTTTCCCATCCCCAGCCGGGAAGAGCGGTACTGAATAACATTGGATCAGGTGGTGATCATCAGAAAGACCCCAGCGCTCGAGCACGTTCGTCCGTCCTATCTCCTTGCTGCCCCTTCCAGTATGTGGCGTGTGGGCGTAGTGTATTTATCGCAATAATGCGTCGAAAAAATTGCCTCTGCGCCAGGGCGTCGACGGTGGTAAAGCTCGAAGCACGGACGTCAAAATGGCAGACGTTCTTCGTTCTACGTTCTACGTTCCTGCCAGGTCCCCCGCACGCGACTGTGACGGCTGACAGCGCGTACGGCGCCGCGGAGGCTAATCCTGACAGCCACAAACCTTCTCCGGGGTCGACTTCGAGCAGATTTCCCTACAAATTCTGCTCCACGTTGTTTGACGGGCTCGTTCCGTGAGTCCACGAGGACCTGTCTACCACCATATGCGTCGCTCACCATTGCAGTTCTTCATGCACATTGCCACTCACGATGATAATACCACGCGGAACACTGGTACTTGCGGGGTTCACATCTCCCAATCGCTTAAGCATGGTCTACATTTGCAAGGCACACATACACACACGCCCGCTGAGACGCCGACCCCACAAAATCCCCGTCCCGTCTTCCATCAGCACAGCAGTTGCAGATTCAGACGCGGGGCCTCGGCTGGATCTCATCGATGACACCGAGGAACCTGCTTTCGCTGATTACCGCGCCTGTTCGAGGACCGTGGGCTCCAATGCAGCAGGATCTCTGATGCACATATACACGGGCCACTGCGCGCCACCATGGGCTTGCAATAGGATCTGCAGGTCGATTCACACCGCCCTCGCCAAATGGTGATCCCTAACGCATATATGGGGTCTATCACTTCTAGCTTCATTGACAATAATATGTCTTGAAGTGGTACGTTCCCTGAAGGCTTCGCCAATGTACCGACGGCCGTGGAGGCACTGCAATAAGTATAACCAATTCATTATGTGGGAGACCAGCATGACGGCTCAGTGGCTTCTCGGATCAATGGTCCTTAGTCCCTGGCCACTTGAAGGAGTGGTGCGCACACGGCCTCATCCGGCGAACCCAACCAGCACACCGTAATCACAAATACCGTCCCCGGAGTCCACGCACTCATCCCAGTCCTTCCTCGAAGATTGTTCTCGAAGACCGTCTCCACCAGGCATTGACAGACATACGTCGTGCCCGACGTGCAAATGCGATGCGCACACCTGATGCGCTGGGAGAAGCTGATCTGCGCTCGCTCATTGGGCCCATCCTTAGACTCGACTAGGCGCGGCGACATCAAGATCTCCCAATGATCCCGCCTCGCGACCATCTTTCGCGCACGCAAATCACAAGAGGTCGTGACAAGGCCCCAGGGGTGTAAGCGGCTGTACGCGAAACATAAGTATGGCCACGGGTCGATATACATAAAGCTCTCGAGCTCCTCGGCCGGTGACCCGTAGGCCCTGTGTTCTTCCTCCTACATGATCACCTGGATCGCCCTTCCATGAGCGTTGCGGATCAACACTCGGTGTATGGCAAGCATACGGTTGAAGCTTATATGAGTGAGCTAACATTAGGCTTCTTCGCTTGCAGGACCATACATGCCTACCTGGAGTTGACCGGACTGAGTGAGTGCACTCATTTGCAAATTCCCTCGTGGGTTGGGGCTAACAGTTCGAATATCATATGACTTATTTCCCCCTCGCAGCGCTGCTGTATTATGACTACTTTCTGACATTGCCGGCTGAGGTGTCCCGCATCTGGTCCCGCCCAACGTCTAGAGCCGCACTCTGGTTTTTCATAAACCGTTACATTCCTTTCTTCGGCGACATTGCGGTCTCTGTGTTTAGCTTTACGAATTTGGCTTCTTCTGATAAGGCGAGCTTTATCCTTCCCATCGCAACTGCTAACCCTGACGTCCCGTCCCCTCTCGCGTGATGTGTACACGAGAACAGAGGTGAGCACTTCGTTCCAGCATATACATTAGTAGCTCAACAACCAAGCGTCGCTTCAGTTGCCGCACTTATGGATTGGCCCGACAACTGCTTCTCGTCGCAAACCAGGTAGTAGTCGCCTGTACGTCGAAGAATTCCCCTCAAAACCTTGTATGGACTGAATTTCATTCTAGTTCTACTGGCGATGCGTATATATGCCCTTTACGGCGGCTCGCGACGCGTTGCGGTGCTCATCGGCAGCGTATCGTCTATTTTGGCTGCTGTCACTGTCGTACGACCTTCCTACTTCCCTGTCAGCGCCGGCGCCGACATGTCTTCTCTTTGATATCTAGTGGTCGTTGCTTGGCCAGCACAGCACGACCGTGCCCGATGTCCAAGGCTGCCACCTTGCCACCTCCAATAAAACGCAAGTCATCCCCCCTTCCCCTTCCATAGCAATCACTAACGTCGCGATATTTCAGTGGTATACGTGCGTGAAATCCACTAAGCCCGCTCAGCCGCACAACCTCACCCATTCATATCCATATGTAGATATTGCGGTGGCTTGGGAGGCGCAGGCCATCTTTGACATGATGATGATGATTCTGACGGTGTACAAAACGGTACAGACGCGTCGCGAGCTGGGTCTGCGACCGGTGGGCGGGAACCGGGGTCTCGTCGACCTTGTCTTCCGAGATGGTGCGTTCTTCGGGCCTGCTCTCACTTTGATACCAAGGTCTAGTCTAATTCGTTTACCACAGGTGCTATCTACTTTGCGTAAGGCCCTCTAGGCCATGTAATGCAATCGTAGAACTGACATTTTACCTTGGATTCTAAGTGTCATGGCAGGCGCCAATATCTCGAATATCTTGACTTTCTACGTGCGTAAATTAGCTTCTCCACACTCCATCCTACTGACCTTCACTCCGCAGCTCGCGAACGTAAGTTCCCCTCCTCTCCCCCCTTAATCATCTCCAACCACCGCCTACACAGCCCATCCTCAAAGGCGTCCTCTCCACCTTTGCCGGCTGGTAAGCCCCCTCCGCCCTTCCACACGCCGACGCAGTCCTCACGTCTCCCCTTTCCCAGCATCTCCGTAATGATGATGTCCCGCCTCATGCTCAACCTTTACGAAGCCACCACGCCGGCGTCCTCCATGTTCAGCAGCACAACACGGAGTAACATCTACTTCACGACGCGCCTCGATGCAGGCGCGCTGCCCACCCACACGAGTCTCTGGCCGTACGGCCCGTCCATACCCACTGCCGAGCTCGACCCGACGGTCACGGTCGCTACGTCTCGCGGGGACGCGGACGTGGGTGCGGATGGAGAGGCGCGTGTCTCCGACGAGACCGTCCGTGCGCGGCCGCAGGTGCAGGAGATCGAGCTCGTGGACATACACGCTGTGGTTTAGGGGTAGACGCGGTTTGCACTTTGATGATTCACGACGCGACGAGATGAGGGTGCCTTGCTTGTTCTTGCTATATCGTGTTGTGGAAAACGGACTTTGTACTCTAGATCCCGATACCATATTGTTTCTATACCCCGCTATCGATATCATGCTTCGACTTCCATTTTCACCCCAAATGTTTTTTGCTGCTCTCATACCCATCGACCATTCGTGCATCGTTAAAAAAAAAACCCCGGATATGAGGAGATTGCAGTTGTATAGCTGTAGGAGAATCAATCAAATAAAAAGGACTGTCCGCGCCAGGATTCGAGCCTGGGTTACCACGGGATTGCAGACGAAGCCACAACGTGGTGATCTAACCACTAATCTACGCGGACGATATCAATGGCTTCTCATTATACTATAGGTACCTTCCACTCCGATCTCCCTCCCCGGGGACTTGAAATACAGTTCTGTGATCGTTGTGCACGAGAAAATATCAGACGGTCCATGTCATAGTAGAACCAGTAGCTGGTGTTGGCTTCAAGACCAAAGAGGCCACTCAAGAGGAACCCGGCTCTCCGACTTCACTCGCACTCACGCACTCGGCCACCAGACCAAAAAAGCGAGAAACAAAAAACCATGACTATTCTCGTCATTCAAAGTCGTTAAGAAACAGCAACAACAGTACTGTAGCTATACATAGATACCAGCGCCTCATCCGGAGACAGTCTAAGGGTACGGGTCGTGAGTTTACGAGGATATGGGGTGATGATGATGATGACAACTAATTTTAAAACGAGCACTAAGCTTATAAGTATGCGTTACGCGCCCGCAGCGCTATGGTTTACCAGTATAAGTCCACGAGGCCTCTGGGCCTCCTCCTTTTGCAAGAACAGATGATTCCGTACCACAATACAACGCCGCCACACCGCCGACGTCCGCCTTCCTTCCTTCCTTCCAAGCTTCCGTCGTCCACTGGCTCACCCACAGCACACCGCGGCTCAGTGAATCTTGCTGAGCACGCGCGGCTGCGAGATGTCCGCCATGTTGATGAAGATGTCGTCCGCGGGGTGGCGGTACAGCGGCGCGCGGAGGCGCTTCTGGTCGAGGTGGTGGCCGATGAAGCCGATCGAGCGGCCCAGGACGAAGAGGCCGTTGAGCGTGCCGATCTTGATGTACTCGTCCGCCTCCTCGGGGGTGAACGCGCCCGAGTCGCGGAGGAGGTCGACGAAGCAGACGGCGATGCAGCCGTCGACGTTGAGGATGAGCGTGTCCTTCTTGGACGTGGTGACCTTCTCGACGGCGAGCGCGTAGTCGAGCAGCGAGTGGCTCGGGAAGTGCTTGAAGACGTACTCCTTGACGAGCTCGACGCGCAGGTCGGGGTTGTTCACGCTCTTGATCTTGTGGCCAATACCAGAGACTACATATCTCCGTCAGCTGCTGATGCGAATGCTCGAAGAGAATGTATACGCACTAAGCTTGTTCGCCTTGCGCGAGGCGTCGACGAACTCTCGGGGCGTGAGGCCAGTATCGCGGGCGTTCGAGAACATCGCAGCAGCCTCGTCGAGCGCACCACCGAAGCGGCTGCCGATGGTCAAGAGACCCGACGCCAGCGACGAGATGAGGTCCTTGCCCGCACGAGTCGCAACGATCGTGTTCATCGCACTGTCCGAAAACCCATCAGCATCCTACCCCAATTCCACACGAAGGTCCACATACCCAGACACCGCAGGACCGTGGTCGGCCGTGAGCATGAGCACCATCTCGATGAACTTCGTCGCCCACTGGGGCAGCCTGCGCTTGAACCAGAGCAGCGACACGACACCGCCGAGGCCAATATCCTCCTTGAACACGTCCGAGATGCGCATGCCGGCATAGAGCAGCTCCTGGCCGCGCTCGTCGGAGATGGTCGAGATGAACGCGGCGGGCTTGCGGATGAGACCGAGCTCCTGCGCCCACTTGTAGTCCATCGGGATGACGGGCGGCTCGCGCTCGGGCTGGGGGCGGATGGTGCCCTTCGCGACGAGCGCGTCGTATGTCTCCTTGAGCACGGCAGGCAGGTCCTCGAACGTCTCGGGCACGATGAAGCCCGCGGCGCGCATCGCCTGGTTCTTCGCGTCCGCGGTCTCGAGCTCCGAGTTCGCCATCGAGCCGGCATGCCCGAACTGCACCTCCGTCGCGAACATCTTCGCGCACGTCCCGATGGCCCACGCGACGATGGGCTTCTTGATGATGCCCTTCTTGACCGCGTCGATGACGCGGTACTCCTCGATGCCGCCGACCTCGCCGAGCAGGACGAGCATCTTGCAGTCGGGGTCCTGCTCGTAGCGCAGCAGGTGGTCGATGAACGTCGAGCCGGGGTAGCGGTCACCACCGATCGCGATGCCCTCGTACGTGCCGTTCGTGAACAGCGAGAGGATGTTGTTCAGCTCGTTCGACATGCCGCCGGACTTGGACACGTAGCCGACCGAGCCGGGGCGGTAGAGCTTCGACGCGATGATGTTGTCCATCATGCCGCCCGAGTTGCCGATCTTGAAGCAGCCGGGCTTGATGCCGCCGACGGTCGCGGGCCCGATGATGAGCACGCCCTTCGCCTTGGCGAGGTGGAGGATCTCGCGCGCGTGGCGCTCGGGGACGCCCTCTGCGATGATGGCGATGACCTTGATCTGCGGGAAGCCAAGGATCTCCTGCGTGCTGGAGTACACGGAGCGCGAGGACGCGAAGTTGACGACGACGTCGACGTCGGGGTGCTTCTTGACTGCCTCCTCGACGGTCGTGTACACGGGGAGGAGCGTCTCCTTCGTGCCCCAGTAGAACTTCTGGATGTGGTGGCCGCCGAAGGGGTAGATCATGGCGGCGACGGAAGGGACGGTGCGGCCGCATGAGTAGTCAAAGTCGAGCATGCCCTGGATGGCACGGGGCTGGAGGCCGTAGACGAAGCTGCGGGTGGTGGCGTCAAAGGGGCGGTAGGAGGGGCGGGAGTGGCTCTTGCCGGTCTCGAAGCGGACAATCTGGTCGTCGGGCTGCGTGCGCTCGCCATCGGCGTGGATGGCGCCGACGGACTCGTCGTTCGTGGGGCCCGCGCCGCCGTTCGCGTGGGGCTCGGGGGAGGGAGGGGAGGTCGGAGGGACAGACGGGGCCGTGCTCTTCGACTCGCGCTTGATGCCGAGGGCGAGGGGCACAATCTCCGTGATGTGGGTCTCGGGGCCGTACACCTTGATGGGGACGCCGAGAGACTCTCCGAGGAGACGCATGGCCTTGAGACCCTCCTGGTAGTTGGGGCCACCGCGGCGCACGAAGATGCGGACCTTGTGGGCGATGAGGGGCGCCTTGTACTCCTTGAGCGCGCGGATGATGCCCTTGAAGGTAGCCGCGACGTTCGTGAAGTTGGCGATACCACCACCGATGATGAGGATCTTGCCCTCGGGATTGGGCTTGCCGCGGGTGACGAGGTCGACGATGGTCTTGGCGTACTCGTAGGTCTGACCCTCCGTGGGCGCACCCGAGTACTCGCCGTAGTTGGCGAGCTCGTGCGCGAATCCGTGGGCGGCAATGGCATCGGAGTAGACGACGGAGGCACCACCACCGGCAACCATAGTCCAGACGCGACCCTCAGGGTTGAGGACGGTCAGCTTCAAGGAAGCACCGGTCGACGCGTCGAGCTTCTGGATGTATGCCTCCTCCTTGGTCAGGTCACGACCGAAAGGCGCGGGCCAGACCTGTACGCATACACTAAGTCAACAATGTGCATGCCATGCTCGACGAAACGCACCATGGGAGGTCCACGGTCCGCCGACACCTTTCCCTTCGCGGTCGTCTGGGGAGCACCCTCGCTGTACACACTGAGATCACGCGCAATCGCCCACTTGGGCCCGCAAATCGAGTCGGCAGTCTGGTCAAGCTTGGCGGCCATGTCGAGGTAATGGATGGTGGGCTGGCCGCCGGCCTCGGCATCGAGGCAGATGAGGGGGTTGATTTCGAGGTAGGCGAAGTGGAGGTCGACGTAGACGCTGTAGAGGCGGATGAGGAAGTCGACGAGGGTCTGCTGCTTGTTGGCGGGGACGTGCTTGAGGAGGGTGGACGCGATGGCCTCGCGAGAGGGGAAGGGCTTGCCGACGAGGATGTCGAGCTTCAGCGCCTTGGCGTCGACATCGCCGATGTCGACACCACCCTCGTGCGTGAAGAGGATGGAGTCGCCCTCACGCTGGGAGGTGATGCAGACATAGTATTCGGTGTTGGAGGGGTGGGGGAGGAAGGGCTCGAGGATGAAGTTGTTGAGGGTGCCTGTGACAGACTCGACCTGGGTGAAAAACAAGCATCAGCACACACGCGCGGCAACGACAACAGAGCACGGCAAAGCAAAGTAGACGAGCGCCAAACTGGTGGGCCGATGTCGATCCGTCACGTGCTGCGCTTCTAGATACACGCGTCGCGACTAGAGCGCCTCGCCCCCGACGCGAGGAGGGAGCGAAGAACGCAGAACGGCCGGGTATATGCGCGCCATCGCGATATCTGCACACATGGCGGGCATCATGGGCGATTATCCACGGGAAGCACAGACGGTAGACGCCTCACAGCGCGCGATGCGGCTGGGCGTTTCGCTGATACTGATATTGGGTGATAGACAGGCATTGTATGCGCACCTTTTGGGCCTTGCCTGCGCGCTCGGTGATCCACTGCTTGGCCTCGTCCCAGGTCTTGTTGAGAGCAAGGAGACCGGCCTTGCCGCGACGCTTGATGAGCTGGTCAGGCTTTGCGACGAGCTTGGTGGTGAAGACCCAGCTGGGGAGCTGAGTGTCGGGTGTGATGGCGCCAGTCGCGGGATCCCAAGAGACCTGGGCGACCTTGGGAGAGGGGAAGACGAAGGGGGTGCCGAGCTTGGCGGAGGGGTCGACGGAGGGTGCACGCTCGAGCCAGTAGGCGAGGAGGAGCTTGGCGTCGTATTCGCGGATAGCTGGGTAGAAGAACAAGATGAGCAAGTAAACACGAAAGGGGGAGGAGGGGACAGACCCTTGGAGGACATTATGGAGATGGAGGGAGGGCGGAGGAAAGTCTAAGGCAGAGACTGCCTGCGCAAGGAAGGGTATTCAGATAAATATAGGGAGATGGGTGACCCCCAAAGTTCCCACGGGTGCTAGCGCCACATCTGCAACCTGTCCTCTGTTGCCCCGAGTCCATCGTACGACCGTCAGCGAAACAAAAGTGTGCTCGCTTGCTGCGTCGTGCCTTGTCTCATCAAACTCTGCCCCAGTCGTTCTCAGATCTGCGTTCGCCTCGTATCTCACCATCTTGTTCGCAGGCGCACCGGACTCTGACACATCTCGCGCCTCGGATTTCTCGTCGCGCGTCGCCCGGCTCCGCGCTTCCCTCTTTGACACGCGCTTCCAGCCAAAAA